GATTTAAAAAAAATTGTTCAGATTTACTTAAAACTCGTTACTCGGGGGTTATCGGGGTCGCTGATTACGAATATGATGTTAGTTTATAAAAATTTAATACGGCGGATCCAATATGGCGGAAAAAATATATTTAAATGAATAAAATCGATTGAAACTTGCTACTAAATCCCGTAGGGATTTTCGAGGACGCCGAATACGAATCTGATGCTGGATTTTAAAAATTCAAAATGATGTATCCAATAAGACTTACGATGAAATTGTTCTGAGATTTTCTTGGTTCTTGGAACTTAGGTGTTTCCTCTAGTCGCTAATTTTAAATCTGAATTTTTCATAATCCAGAAATAGTTTACTGTAAATGTTTTACTAAAATTTAATCGCATTTCTGTGATACTACAATCTCAAAAAGTTTTTGACCTATGTAAAATTAGTTTTTGTGTTTATTTATTTTCTATTTTTGCGACTAGACTTCACCCGTGGTGAAGGCGGGCAACGAATTCTCGGCTAAGTTTCTAGGCTAAAATTATGCCTTCATGGCAAAAGTAGGAAAGAAGTTTAAGATGCAGAGGAGGGATACCTCAGTATCGGCGGTTGGTCAGGTTGAGAAAGCCTTGGACAAAAATGGTAAATGTAATGATTATTATTTAGACTCAAATGAAGGCTGGGCTGCTTGTTCTGTCTGCGGCCAATGGGCTCACTGCAGTTATGCTGGTGTAAACGACGAAGATCAAGATCCTGGCAATCCAAATTTTTTTTTGTGTGTCAGTGTATTTATATTATAATATCATTCTGAATAAAATTGCTATGTATTTTTTTCTCTGTCTCAAGTTTTAGAAATAGCATATTTTGCTAAATATCTAGATCATAATAATATTTTTGAATAAATTAGTTAAATACGAGGCTAAAGATATTTATTTCCTAACTACGAATTTTTATAGAATACGGAGTTTCTTTAATTAATGAATCTTTAATGAAATTTGATTTTCAATCAAAATTAATTGTGCAGGTTATTTATTTTTTACATGAAATTGTTTAAAAGATTTTTATTCAAATTTATTTTTCTAAGTAAAATACTGATTTTTAGCTTTGAATAATATTAATTTAAATAAATTAATTTATTTTAATAATCGAAAAAGTTCTGATAAATTTTTAATTTTTGATCACATTGTTGTAAAAAAAGCGTTTTTTAAAAGTAAAAGATATGATTTATGTTAATGTATTATTGTTATTAGTAATATCTCTTAAATCAAAGAAAGCAATTTTTCTCAATGTTTACTATATTTACACATCATTTTGAAACTTCGCGCGTTTATCCAAATCAGTTCCTTCCGTTCCGCCGTTCAGAATATGATCGTAGTCTGTTACAAGTATCATGCATGTTACATTTACAGGTCTCACAGCCCGCATAATTATTATTAATAATTGAACAATTTACGATTTAATTCAACTTAAATAATGGATAAATCGACTATATAGGGTGTCCCAGTCGAGGGTGTACATATTAAAGGGGCATATTCTACTGAAAAAATTAAGACGAAAAGTCCGTAGCACTTTTTAAAAATAAATAGTGAAAATTAAAGATCACTCCGAGTCAAGGAAGTTTCCTTGACTCGGAGTGATCGTTAATTTTCACTATTTATTAAAATACGACTGAGTGATAGAATCATCTCTACTCTTACTTTTTAAAAATGTTGAGTAGTTTTTTCGTAAATCGCAATAGAATTAGTATATTAAGCAACAAGGGTATAAAGGCAGCCATTTGTTTACAGTGATTTTTGTGACACAAGTGGAGATCGAGGGCGCCCTCAACCTCCACTCGTGTCACAAAAATCATCGTAAACAAATTGGGATGCCTTTATTCCTATGTTACTTACGATATTTTTTATTCCTAATGCACAAAAGTGTCGATTTCAGATAGCAGACGACAGGGAGTAAGAGTCATTCACTTGTTCGACTTACATGAAAATGGCGGCCGTTTTCTCCCTTGGGCAAAAATAACGCATGGGATCAACTGTTATTTTTGCACATGGGAGAAAATGGACGCCATTTTCATATGGTTGAACAAATGAGTGACTTTACTCCCTGTCGTCAGCTATCTAAAAGCGCCATTTTTATGCATGTGGGATAAAAAGTTTATTTATTAATTATAAGAGCTTTTTCTAACATTTTTAGTTTTTTGATGAACTTTTTTCCACTATTTAAAGTCTAACCACCTGGGTACATTTATGTTTATCTAATCTGTCAGGAATTTCAAGTAATTATTTATTAATTAGAACTTTATTAATTGCAATTTTTGCTTAAATCGAATCTCTAAATATTCATTTTACATTATCAATACTTCTTTTTGCTATATAACACCTTCTAAATATTTTTTTTCAACTGTTACCATATGTCTACCTTATGTCCACTTTAAAAGTGGACATATAGTAAACCCAATTCTGGCAGGGTATACCTGAATATTGTGCAATTAAATCGCTAAAAACAAGTAACAAATACATCCTCAAAACACGAGGCCTATAATTCCCCAAATGCTTTATTTTTCAGAAAGCTTTGTATTATTTATTTATTTTAATTTGATGCAAAATTCCTTTTTGAAATCAAAGTACCAATGACACACAATAATTAAAAAAATATTTGTCATTACTGATTCTTGAAAATCTTTGTAAAAACAATAAAAACATGAACGCCAAAAATATTTGAAAAAAACTATTTGAACGCAATGTGTCAGGTAGTTGTTGTTTACGGCTTACAGTTAATTGTATTGCGTTGTAAAGTTATGACATGTTTATGAAAAATTTCTTTGGGACGAACAAAAGAAATTAAAAAAACATTGGATGATCAAACTTATAAATATTATGAAATAATGGAGGTGGCCCACAATTCCGCAATCTCCCCTATGTGTTAGTTATCATTCATTTTCGACAATATATTACATAACCATCTTGAAAAATCTACTTACATGTTTAAGATTCAGGCATTTTTTTCTGGAATTACATAAAATTGCGTTTATTTTCCTTCTTCTGTTAACCATTATGAAGCTAAAATGCAATGTGAGGCAAAAAACGACAAATTTATAAATATATTAATTATTATTTATTTAGTTTATACATTTTTACAATTTACAATCTCTGGAATGGAAATAATAACGAACAATTATGAAATAAATAGAATTTTTGAGTAAAGAATAGCAATAACAATGAAAATATAGTAATTTTAAATCGTGTGAGAAACAATAAAAATTTAACGGAGAAACTTTTCATTCTAATATTAATATCTAATATTAATAATTATATATGGAATAACTCGAGTAAGTCTTAAGCGATTTTGCTTAATTTTTTTTGCTATATAAAGAATAATAAAAGACAGAATTCTGATAAGTTTATTCAATATTTTGGATGCTTCTATACAATTTAATCAAAGAAAACTGAAAAATAGCGACTTTTCGAGATTTAGACAAACCTAGAGATTAAACTTCTAAACAAATATGTAAAATACTCTAGAAAATTATTAATTGGGTTGAAATCTCGATATATATTTCAGGAAATTTTAATACATTTCGTATTTTTTTAAATATTTTAATTTTTTTCAAAAAAATTGGTTTTTTTACATTTAGACAAACCTGTAACTAGCACTCAGTTATCAGCACACACTTAATTTTTGGAAATTTGATGTTGGTATTAACCGAACAAAATATTTTACGTTAAGGAGGTTTATCCTAAAATCAATTTTCTACAGATTCTTATAAAATTTTAAACACATATTAATAGCTTTAATTTACATGTGTGGTTAAAATTTTATTGAATTTAACTGTACCGTTTACAAGATATAAATTTAAAAAGTTTGAAGTTTTCAATGAGAATAATGAAAAAACATACAAAATGACTATGTTTTCATTGATTAAAAAAAACCGCTTTACAAATATTTGAAAAAAATTAATATGTTATAAACGATAATATAATACATCTTTTACTAAAATGTAGAATTAATTGACCGTTTAGTTGTTAAGAAAATATTATTTAAAGTTAGCAACTTTTATGACTATTTGTCGTTAACGAAAAAGAAAAGAAAAGAAGCTACAACAGCGCCTGAAATCTCTAGAGGAAAAATAATGAAATCAAGAAAGAGAAAGAAATAGGTTTGAGCAGAACGCATTAATAACTCAAAATTAATTTTTTTGACGTAAGGTCCCTTTCTCCGCGTCAGGACACATATGATATACAAGTAAATTTTTAGTTAAGTGTTTTTAATAATCATATATATATAACACTACGCTTATGCGCGATTGCCAAATTTTAATCTATTGAGATTGTGTGTTTTCGGCATGTCCACGGATCATGATACGGATCACTAAGGCCAGTGGAACTCGACTTTTGTCCACTAGAGCCAATAGTAGTAAAATTACAAAACATGCAGTTTAAATGAGTACCACTTGATGGAATAAACCTTAAAATTTAATTTCTAAAGTAAAGTTGGTTTTCATAACTATAGGTGCCAGTTTCAGCTATACTTATTTTGAAGAAATGGAAGATGATTGGATAAGTCTCCTCGTTATTAATCAGTGCAGTGTATTAAGTTTTACAATTATACATTCATACGTATGTATAATAGGGTGGTTTTTAATAGACATTATATTTTAATTCGGAAGTCGCGAATGCGCCTGCGAAACTTTAAAAGTTTCCTCATGTTATTTTAGAGGAAAAAAATGTGTCTAGTGCAATATTAGTGTCAAATTTAGACGTATAAGCACACAGCATAGTGGAAAAATTATAAAGATGGCTGCAGTACAGAAAGTAGTCAACTAAAGGAAGAAAAAAGAGTTGGTTGCACGGTAAGGTTTTGTTGACCATGTATTGTTATTCGCTGATGAAATATCAAAAATACAATTAATAGTTACCTCTGACACTTTCATTTATTGTTTTTATAAACATTGAATGTAAAAATAGAATAAAAATTAAATAAACTATTAATTTATAAAAAATAACTTATTGATAAAATAATTCACATGTGCTCCGTCCTTAACTTTTTTCATTAAAATCTACTTCAATACTTTTTTAATCATTGTACTTAATTTTTATATAACATATAATAATTTAGAACACTTTTTATTATTTTTTTCACATTTAAATAATGCAACAGCTGTAAACAGGGCCGAAACTTGAAATGGAAGTTCAATTACATATAATTACATATAACACAGTTTTGAGAAAAACGCCTTTCAAAGTTAAAGTAATATATTGTTAGCTTGGCAGCTCCTTGACCTTGTACACATATTGTACTCTCCAAATCTGAATCAGCGTTTCACTGATTCTCAGCGATAAGTATACCACTCATTTCAATCAGCGTTTATGCGCTAATTAATCAGTGTAATTTCACTAATTCACGGCGCATATACGCTAATTGGAATCAGTGACATACTTATCGCTGATTTAGACCGAATGAAAAAAATTTTGTTATATTCTTATTCAGTCATACACCTAAAGTTTTAATAAACACAAAATTTTTTAAGTAAACACTACATCAACCGTTTTTTATAACCCAGTGTTATTTATTCATTTATTAACGCTTACATTCAGAAAAGTGTTTTTTAAACCGAAATACTTAAAGCTCAATTTTAATTTCTCCGCTACAAAATCACAGCTGTCTAATATACAGTTCATTTATATCAAACGGTCAAGGAGTCACTTTTCCTCACACTGAAACAGTGACGTACTCAAATTTGAGACCAGTTTTATGAAATAGTGGTATGAAAAGTTTCTCCCTGTGTGACTTATTAACAAAATAATACTTAATAACTTAATAAAAATTAAGTATTCAAAAGTTTCAGCCAATCGACGTCTGCAAAATAAGGATGACGTTTTATTTCCGGAATTGTTAATCTTTCATTTGGTTCATATTTAAGAATCTGAAAAATGTATTTTCATTTATTTATGCAATCATTAAAACTTATTTATATGGTAAGTCCGGGGGAGATGAACAATTTAAATATTTTATAGAGTTTGTAAAAAAAATATCCCTATTAAGAGTAATTCTTCAACCTTTTGTGACTAACAATAAATATAAACAGTAAATTGTTGAAAAATAATGCAAATGCAAGTGTAATCCTTCTTTATTTTTTAATGGTTCTAAAAATGTTAAAAATTCAGATTTCTTGTTAATATATGGGTGATTTTTCTGCAAGTGCTACTTTTGAAATTCGATATTTGAATTTTTCAATTTTTGAAACAATATCTACTTTATTTACGTGTTTAAAGTGTGCTAAACTGTCCATTATTTCACTAGAGCTATTATTTCACGCAAAAGAGTGATATAATGAGAAGATCAATGATAATAATGGATTGAGGGTAAGACTCCGTCAGAAAAATTACAATTTGCATGGGGTCTTCGGATTATTCTGTAATTTGGTAAAGTTGTTATATTTGATAACAAAAATAAGTGTACCAAAGGATTTTTAAAAATTTTGCTTCCTCATAAAGGAAGCCTTATAGTGATGTCGATTTCCGAATTTTTTAGAACCAATTATTTTTACAAATTTTCAAGTGTAGTATACATAATTCGTCGAGAGGAACAAATGTCCGGATGTATGTGTGTATGTATGTGTGTGTGTGTGTGTGTGTATGTCACCGATTCTTGTGGACAAATTTTCTCTTACACGTCTTGACGGATTTTGATTAAATTCTGTAGGTGTATTACGATCACGAATACCAAAAATCAGACAAAAGGATTTTCAAAAATATCTAAAAAAAAATTTTTTTTAACAATTTTTTAATTTTTGAAAAAATTAATTTTTGGATTTTTTGAAATAACTTTTTTCTATATTAAAATTTTTATTAATTCTTGTCAAAATTGCATTCCTGACATAAAAACGAATCGATTAATGTATATAAAGTATATATTTTATCAAAATTTATAGAATTAATAAATATTTTAAATTTTCACAAAAAATTGAAATTTTGTATTTTTTGACATTTTATCTTAACACTTTAAAATAATTATTCTAAAATAAAAAATTAAACAATTGGTATATATTATATTGAGGAAGCTTAATGATCATGAAATGAACAACTTGTTTAAAATTGTAAAAGTTAAGCCATTTTGAATTTTTTGATAAGATTTTTTTTAAATGTGAATATTTCCGAAACGATTTAACGAATTTTAATCAAATTTAAATATGTTATACTTAAAATCATGTCCTTTAAGAATTTTTCAAAAGAAAAAAAAAATTTTTGTTCTTTTCAAAAAAAAGTAAAAAAAAATTTTTTGAATCGATTTATTAAGCACGGGACCGATTTTTGAGTATTTTTTAATATATAATAAAATATTCCTTATAATTTCACCTTTCATTTACAAAAAAGAAAACGATGAAGACTTTAATAGTTTTCGAGATATTGCAGTTTTTGTGGAAGCGCCACCACGTTTCAGTGCCAGCGCAGTATCTTTTTCCTGGGACGCCTCACAGTGGGATTTTTTACACTTTACTCTTCAAAATTGTCTAGAGTCTACAAATTTTATTGGATTTTGATGTTCTTGGTCTTAAATGAAAGGGGATAAAATTTCTAAGAGATCCCTTCAAACCGATTTTTGAATTTTTAATTGTTTATTAATTTTTTTGTTACTTTAATAGATAACTTTGGTCTTTTTTAAAAAAAATTGTTTTGCTCTTTTAGACAAATTTATGTTTATTTAAGTAATGTATGTCTATTTTGTAAAAAAATGATTTGAAAGTTAACAATTATCATTGTTATTAATAATTATATAACCAATAATTTTTTTTGTTTTGCATTTATAAACATTTTCGTCATTTTTTAAACTTTAAATATTTATATCATATGTACATTCTTTCAAAAACTTAAAAAATTTATTAGCTTAAAGAATTACATTTGTTATAAAGAAATTATTAACTTTATAAACAAATAAATGGCTTATTTCTGCAAAAAAAAACCTTTTTGAACGAGTTTAACATTTAAAAGCTCTACTTAAATATGGATAACTTGAGTATTGTTACACGCAGAAAAATCCGATTGAAAATTGTGGAGTTCAGCGCTAGTAACTTAGATTTCATTCCCAAACTTGTCTACCTTTGCGGCTCCAGGATAGAAAACAGGGAAATGAATCGTAAAAGGTTTAAAGCACGTCAATAGGCTTAAAATGTTTTCGTTCTTATGCACACTTATACGCGGAACAAAGCAGACTAAACACATTGATAGGCGCTTCTGGGCGGAGTCCAAGGCAAGTCTAGTGCCGAGTCCCATACTGAATATAATGTGAGCAGATCTTCTAGTAACCTACATTATTACTTTTATTTGTCAAAATATTTACTTTTATTGGAATATTCAATTTGAAACTTAATATAAAATCGAAAAATGAAACAACTGAAAATATTAGAATACTTTGAATTTTATAAAACTTCTCACTAGGATTTTTATTATTCTTTAGATATTTAAACGTAGAATCTCTTTAAAAATTAAATACAAGTCCTTTGCCATTTTTACTAAAATGATCTGTTTTAAAACGTTTAAAGAAAGAGATTTTATTTATTTATCTACAGATTAAACAAAAATTCCAATGCGAAGATTTTTAAAATTCAAAGTATTCTCTATTTTTTTAAATATTATTTCATTTTAGACTTTACATTTAGTTGCCTAAATTGAACATTACAATAAAATATAATAACAATTAGGCATTGCATAACCGGCTAAAAACAAAATAAACACACACCTAACCTCAAAATGAGATCAAACATTTCACATAGATATTCTTCTGCATTCATTTATAACACTAGAACTTTATTACAAAACTGCACTCACTATTATATTTAAAACTAAAATTTTTATTAATTGAAACAATTAATACACTACGAACTACACCGAGACTTCCGTGTATATAAAAAACGAAGAAACTGAACAAACGCGGGCGCAGGCGCGCCACAGAGTTTCGCATTCCTAAAAACTGTTTGGGAATGAATCTAAGGACTCTCGCACAGAACAGTCCCCGTTTAAGTGAACGTTGATACAAAGTTTGTAACAATTGAGTAGCTGAATTAAAATAAATGCAAATAATAATAATTGTACCTAATTCTTTTCACCTTTGAATTAATTACGGAATTTGATTGCACTTGTTGAAAGAAGACTATTGGCGTTTATTAAGATATTTAGCATTGATCTTCATTGAAAATCGTTACTAAACTTTTTAGGATAGAGAACCAAAATTTAATATTTCTTCCTATGATAATACAAATCATTCAAATTGTTTTATATTCAGTCCGAAATCTGAATTTTCATTTTTCTCCGTGTAATATCAATGATAATTATTAACTTTAAAATCATTTTTTTTACAACGTAGACATGAATTACTTAAATAAACATAAATTTGTCTAAAAAAACAATTTTTTTAAAAAGACCAATTTTATCTATTTGTTAATTAAAATTGTTTTAAAATCAATAAGAAAATTTTTAAGTTTTTGAAAGAATGTACATATGATATAAACATTTTAAGTTTAAAAAATGCTGGAAATGTTTATAAATGCAAAAGAAAATAGATTATTGGTTGTATAATTATTAATAACAATGATAATTGTTAACTTTCAAATCCTTTTTTTACAAAATAGACATACATTACTTAAATAAACATAAATTTGTGTAAAAAAACAATTTTTTTAAAAAAAGACCAAAGTTATCTATTTGTTAATTTGAATTGTTTTTTTAACAATTTAAATAAACTGTATTATGCATTATTATTTGTCAGGTGGTCAGACTAGACTAATTTAAATTGATTTCCATCTTGTGCAATGGAAAATTAAAAAATAAACGGTACTTTTTAACTAAAATATTGTAAATTGTTAACTTTGAGTAACAAAAAAATAAATAAACAATTAAAAATTCAAAAATCGGTTCGAAGGGATCTCTTAGAAATTTTATCCCCTTTCATTTAAGACCAAGAACATCAGAATCCAATAAAATTTGTAGACTCTAGACAATTTTGAAGAGTAAAGTGTAAAAAATCCCACTGTGAGGCGTCCCAGGAAAAAGATACTGCGCTGGCACTGAAACGTGGTTGCGCTTCCACAAAAACTGCAATATCTCGAAAACTATTAAAGTCTCCATCGTTTTCTTTTTTGTAAATGAAAGGTGAAATTATAAGGAATATTTTATTATATATTGAAAAATACTCAAAAATCGGTCCCGTGCTTAATAAATCGATTCAAAAAATTTTTTTTTACTTTTTTTTGAAAAGAACAAAAATTTTTATTTTCTTTTGAAAAATTCTTAAAGGACATGATTTTAAGTATAACATATTTAAATTTGATTAAAATCCGTTAAATCGTTTCGGAAATATTCACATTTGAAAAAAATCTTTTAATAAAATTCAAAATGGCGTAACTTTTACAATTTAAAAAATTTTTAAAAATCCTTTGGTACACTTATTTTTGTTATCAAATATAACAACTTTACCAAATACAGAATAATCCAAAGACCCCATGCAAATTGTAATTTTTCTGACGGAGTCTTACCCATGAGTGAAATAATAATCATTATTTCACGCAAAAGAGTGTAATAATGAGGAGATCAATAATAATAATAAAATAACCTTACTTTTTACTGTTCAAATATCATAATAATTATTAATATTTTGAGATAGCATTTTGTATTGCTTGTGATATAATGGACAGTTACGCTCACTTTCAACACTTAAATAAAGTAGCAATTATTTTAAAATTTAAAAAAAAATATCGTATGGCGCATATGAAAGCCATTATTTGATTCGTGTGATTACTGCACTCAAATTGCCGCAAGCTTGTCTAAGATAGTAAAATGTCCGCTGTGTAGCAAGCTTTCCTTGAAAGGTTGTTGTAATATTTTTGTGAAAGGTTCCCGCAATCCTGCCATGAAATATTGCTACAAGATT